AATAATTATTAATAATGTAATAATTATTATTAGCAGTAATAATGCTGCTAAAGTGATTTTTAGGAAGGAAAAAAATCATTCCAGTTGAGGCATAGTACTAAGGCACTTCTATAGGATTACTGTGAGGGTTTTTTTCTTTTTCTTTTAATTATGTGGCAATTATAAGCTCCCTTTTCTAACTCTTAATTTTGTGTCTATCCACTGGCAATATAGAAACAAATGTCCCAAAGCACAAATGGTTTCCAATTTCAGAAGGGCATACCTGCAGCAGGTGCACCCACCACCAAAACTGTCCTTGTGATCCCAGCCACAGACATCACACCACTGGCCAAAGACAAACCCATTCTGCCATTCGCCTGTTAGATTTTTAGAAGACCCGTGTCATTTCTTCAGAATGTCCCTTAATTTCAAATTATTCATAAGGTCCCATACTACAGAATGAGTCCTACCTTGTCTCCAGTTACTGCAAAACAGTTCTTTGTGCTTGGTGGGTTATACCCATACGCCTTCCCAACACTCTGACATCTGAGAAGAGATGGCAGCTTGAATTACAATGCAAAATCTATTTGTATGTAACAACATATTTTTGTACATTCAGCTAGGATTCCTCATCTTAAAGAGTTTTCCCCTTTTTGTTTGGAATAACAGTGGCTGCCAAATCCTAGAAATCGATTTTAGTAATTCCCATGCTTGTTCTAACTAGTTAGAAGACACTTAGGGCACAGACTTGGTCTATATACCCACTTCATCATCACCCAATACATTCTTGTATTTGGTTTGCTTTTAAAAATGCTATCTCAAAGTAAGTGCCATCTATAGGATTTTTTTAGGTATGCTTATCTGTTAGCATTTTTGTGCCCCCTATTCCTCTCCTGAAGACAACCCAACAAATTCTTAAGTGTCTCTAAATAACAAAGTCTCTATAAAGGGTCTAAAGACACCACTCCCCCTTCACAAGGAAGGACAAAGGCATGAAAATACAAACTTAATTCTAAGCAGGACAAAGAGGAAAGTTCCTGAAAAGCTTCAAGTCTAATCTATTACAAATCTTAACCATTGTAGAAGCTGAGCAGAATAGAGGAGAGAGCAAGCTGTTACATACAACACACCCAGCACAACTTTTCCATGTAGGGCTACCAATCAGCAGCAGTGTTATGTTCTCCAACTGGCAACTGTCAAGTGAAAATCCAAACCAAGCATAGTCTTCTTCCCCCTTCACCAGCCAGTCGGCATCTTCTACTGACAGAAGTCCTGACACCAGAAAAATACTAATTAAATCTTGGTGTACCCTGGCATAAAAAAATCTGTTAGCAATCCTCCACTGATTCGTCCCATGACAACAAGTTTCTATAAGCCAAGTTCATGTTACAGCACCAGTTATTGCTAACCTTGCTTGCTCAGTCTGCAACTGTAGGGGCTGGTGAAAGTATTTATTCAACACAGCCTGCTTCTAAATCCGTGCCATAGCCTACACAAAGTATTTGAAAGCGATCAGTCAAGCCTGCCCTAAACTAGTGACCCCTTCTTAGGGATAGGGCAACATTGAAACTGCTTATCAGAACAATTCTTCAAGGATTGTGGGTGGGAGAGCTTCAAATAATTCTGGCTTTAATTCAAATAATTAATTCTGTGATTCGGTTTTCCAAAAATTCAGCAGTGTTTTGAAACCCATTTTCCTGTGTTTCTAATTTTACATGAAGTAGGATAAGCTACAAAAATTGTTATTGGAAATCTCAACTACATGATTCTGACAAAGATCTGATTACCTGCATCTCCTGCCCAACCCCTATTAACTATTTAGCTCCATACGTGGCCTTTCCTCCCTCATTCACAACAGTCCTCATCACCTGTACTCATTAGCAGTATTCACTTGTAGCATTCCTCTTCAGCCTCATTAAGGAGCATACAGAATGATAAAAAATAATCTTTTGAGGTACATTTCCAAGGAAGACTAGTGAGTCCACCTTGGTATCACCAATACACAAATGAATCCATTGCTTTAGCAAGGCTTTCAATACTGTCTCCCACAATGTTCTTGTATCCGAAATCTGACATAGCAGTCTGGATGAGCGGACACCCAGATCGGAAAAACCTGGTTGCGATGATCACCCTCACAGGGCAGGGGTTAGTGGGTTATACTCTGAATGTCTGTGCAGAGTGGAGTGCCTTCAGGGGGTCTATCAGACTTAGCCTGTTAAACACTTTTGTAAAACTGTAGAAGGCCACAACACGCCCTTTCATGAAGTTGGCAGATGACAGGAGACTTAGGGGGGGGTGGGGGGTG